TAAATTTCTAAACTATTCATTAAATAAAATACTGAACTGCTAAAATCTCCGTGGTGGCTCCCTCCCTGTTGGACATCATCCCTGTGGAGATAAGACTGGCCCTCACCTTGAAACTCTTCTGAAAGGCCCTGAAGACATGGTTTTGCCAGCGGGCCTGGGGATCCCAGGTTGATACGGAGCCCATCAAGTGGTTTGTTTGAATGTATTGTTGTCGCCAGGGGAGTGGGGGTGTAGTGGGTTTGAATTTGGGGTTTTATTTCTGTAAACCACCCAGAGTCACCAAGAATGAGTTGAGCGGCCATATAAATTACTTTAATAATAATAATATAATAAATATTAAATTATGTATATATTTATATATAACAATTAATTATATATATTGGGCAGCCATATAAATTGCAATAATAATAATAATATAAATATTAAATAAATTATTAATTTAAATATTAAAATGCTACTCTGTCACCTTTGTTATTGCAATAACAAACCAATGCTGAAGACATAAAAATTTCCTGAGACTGATAGGAAAGCCAAAAAGGAAAACCCGTAAGTTTCCATTCCTCTGTAGTCTGTGTTCCTTGCAGCAGCTCCGTATCCAGCATGTTCACAAGCTGCTTGCCACATTATTTTGGAGTCTTTACCTGCAGATGGATAATTTAAGTAAAAATAGTTCAGAGCACCTGGGATTTTTTTTGTGAAGGGTGTGGCTATCACAGTTCTGTGAACATCTCTATAAGAGAGGCAATTCAAAAAAGTTTATTTGTTTCTAGTGCTCCTTCTCTACCTGGGCAGAGTCTTTCACTAAGTGTACTTATACCTACCCTTGAGAAATGCTGAAGGGAAGATGTTAATATGTGCAAGAATGAATGCTCATTGATAACTTGGGGATTATGTAAGTGATCCCATCTACCACTCTTGCAGAGATTCTACCCTGATCTTCTGGCACATCTGCAACTAGAAGTCTCTATTTCAGCATCTCTCTTGCTCAGTTGTGGCAGCTTATTCCCAGCAATGTCTCAGGAAAAAGCCCAGCATTTTTCATTTTACATTCTGTTTCTAGATGCATGGACACGCCTTACTACTGTTAGCAGGGACAAACCTTAGGATGAGAAATTCAGTTTATTCAAAAGTTAAATGTAGTTATCCAGATCCTAGCTTCAGCTTTTAGTAGACTTAGTTCCAAATGGAGTGTTGTATTTGAAGTGCAACACATCACCTAGAATACTTCCCTTAAAAAACTAGAATAAACTCAAATAGAGATATTTTATTCAATAAACCTAATTCTACTCCGTAAAGGAGGTGCCCTAGGGATTTATCCATAAAAGGCTTTGTATCAGCTGGAGTATACTGAGCCCTTACTGCGTGGAAGAAAGACAAAATAGCTGTAATATTTCTTTGAGCCCTCTAGGCAATATATGAGAAGGGAAGGAGTTTTCAGGGGGGAAATTAAGGAGGAGCAAATGACAAAGGCATTGTGCCATTGCAATGTAAGCTCTGCCCCTTTTGTACGGGCATTGTGTCACAAGCACAAAACGGGTAGAGCTTTTATCATGATGGTGTAACATTGCTTTCTGTGATGGAATGGAATCATGAAGGCCAGACTCAGGGAGAAAAACATTTTCTTTCATT